AGAGTCGATAAGTCGTGGGAAATTAAAGTGAGTTCATTAGAAAAGCAGAGGCCTTTTAATCTTTAATACTATCCGCATTATGTGGGTTGCTTAGTAGTAACTAAGTAAGTAACCCTAGACAACAAATAAGGGAGCTGAGGAAGATATGCAAAGCTATTATACAATGAAGGCGCAAGCATCGAGTTCTGCGAAATAATGAGAAGCGACAAATATGGCTCACATATATGTTTAACCGATAGCTAGGATATTTCTTTGGCAAAGAGCATTCTTCTCTCTCAAACTTTACTCTCCATATTCGGGATAAATTCAAAAAATATTATAGACAAGAAAATAAAAATATACGCAATTGCTTTACCATTGAAATGTGTATGTATGTAAAACTTTTTAAAGTATGCTGAAATGTGGATAAAAAATATGTTGAATAGAAAATAATTCCCTTAATCTAAGAAGACTTTAAAGAATCAAGAACTGCTCAGAGAATTTGCTTCAATCATTTTTTATAAGCTACAACCAATATCAACAAAAAAAGAAACAGCTTTGACTGAAAAAATATATAGTTCCATATTAATACGGATAGATGGCCATTTCTTTATCATTTTAGTAGTTTTTTAAATTTATTTGTCGCCTAGAAAAATGAAAGCTTTGAAAACTTTAATAGGAAAATATGTTTTCGTTTTCAAAAGCATCCAAAATTCCCAAACGAAACTAACTTTTCAAAAAGTAATTCAGTATCATTGCAAGAATAAATATAATTAAAGTTCAACTACGATTCAGACCTTAATTTTTCCTAATTTGCAGCAGTGTAGTCTTTTTTATCCAAAGACAAGCTGCCTTTCTTTTGCGACATTGCATTATCGTATTATATTTCGTAGGTTCCAGCTTACTCTTTAATTTGCATCAGAGTGCAAGCCTCTGTGCATGAAAAATGCTCGCCAATTAAGTATTTTTCATTACTGCCTACCTCGACCATAAACGGTTTTTATAAACGAGCATCAAAACAGATGTTTAACGAACTTAATATACTCGCTTTTGGTGAGAGTATTAAATGGTATCCAAAAAGCTGACAGCCCAAGAAAGTTCATTGAAATGCGGTCGAATTAAAAGAAGTTTTTCGCCTTCAGCTTACAACACTTTCAAACAATGTGAACTTTGGGTCCACGCCACGTAAGCGAAACGAGCTGTTTATATATGTATGTCGGGTTCCCCTTCTCACCCACACCCACACCCACACCCCTCCCATCCACAACCAAACACTTACTTGGTAATAAATGGGGAAAGATGCGGGGAGAAAAATTAAGTAATCAGGTTGTTGGCTTTCCAATTTTGCATGAAATTCCGTTATCAGTTCATTTCTTTCTTTAGGCTATATGTGATGGCGACAGACAGGTTCTTCCAATACAAAGCGTACGCGCTCAACTTTGTCATCGCTATTCCTGTGCCCTGTGCTCTGTTGCCTGTTTCCTGTTCCCGAGTCCTGCTCCTCTGAGGAGGTATAGGCATCGTCAATTTCTATTTCGTTGCTGAGCTTTGGCGGCTGCGGGTTAAGTGCCTTAGGCAAAGTTTTTAAGAGCCTATTCAATTTCTACGCTTGATTAAATAATGTGCCACGTTGTTGCTGTTGTTGCTGTTGCTTTTAGCATTTTACGAAGACGTCGACGACAATTTCCACACCCTGCCTAGATTATGTTTATTTAGCTGGCTGGTGAAGGCTACTGCCAACAGACGCTAGCGCGTGTGTATTAGCCCATCAAAATGGCTAGCGTGGAAGAGAAGAGATATATATATTTGTAAATATATGTATGTATTGTATATGTATATAGGGTGAAGTGCTCTGGTCGATCGACCGTGGACAAATATTCATGTCTTGTGGGCAACTTTAAAACGAATCTCGTGGACTGACAAAATAAAATCGAAGGCACAACTTTTTTATCCTCACACATACTATGCAAATGAAGCAAACGATGCTTTTCCCTTACACATACATACTTACATACATACTTACATTACACATTGTGTTTATGTCTATGTGCGGACATTGTTTTAATTTTAAATCAAAAAAGGAAACAAATACTTTGCAATTGTCCAGGCGTTTGCTTAGCAACATGCTGCCGAAGCACATGGCTCGGCAACATTTCGTTCAGCAACATTTGGCACTCATTTCACATTACGCTTCGCTCTGGCTCTCTCTTCGGGCGCTCTCGCGCTGCGTTACGTATGACCTTTACGTTGGCGACGTAAGCGAAATTAGAGTCGCTCTTGTGGGTTAACACGGAACTCAGTCACCAAGTCAGTGGGTCAGTGCTGAGGCAGTCTGCCACTAAGGTTGGGGGTTTCTGGCTCTGGCTCTGGCTTTCGTTCTGTGTGTGTCATGTTTTGGCGGCATTAAAACTTTTGTAGGCGTACATACTTACATATGCATGTAGAATACGTACTGCTTGGAATATTATGAGTTAATTAGCATAGCATGGAAATTGTACAAATTGCGAGCTGATAGCTTAAACAAAAGCAGTGACAGACTCTGTAGCCCTTTAGTCACCAGCGGTGGCTGACAAGGACGGGTTTCAAAAAACTCAATGGCAAAAGCGTAAAAAGCTGCATAATTGGCCTGTCAATGCTGCTGCTGTTGTTGTTGTTGTTGTTACTGTTTCTGTTGTTGTTGTTGTTGTTGTTGTTACTGTTGTTGTTGTTGTTGTTGTTGTTGTTGTTGTTGTTACTGTTTCTGTTGCTGTTTCATTTGCTAATTATACCCTGTACCCAAAGGGTACAAGGGTATATTAGTTTTGTGCGAGTGCACATGGAACACACAGAAGGAGGCTTGGTAGACCCCACAAAGTATATATATTCTTGATCAGCATGACAAGCCGAGTCGATATAGCCATGTCCGTCTGTCCGTCTGTCCGTCTGTCCGTCTGTCTGTCTGTCTGTCTGTCTGTATGAACGCAAGGATCTCCGAAAGTATAAGAGCTAGAATAACCAAACTTGGTATACAGATTCTCCTGAGACCGAGAAAGGACGAGTTTATTCATTTTTTCTGATCCACCCCCCCACTCCCCCCCTATTAACGATTTTCTATAACTCCCGTAATTCTTGGAATTTTGAACTGAAATTTGGTAGACACATCCAGTTAGTAATTGTATATCCGTATACCAAGTTTCATTATGATAGAATGATCGGAAAGAAAGTTATAGCCATATAACCAGGCCCAATGCACACATACATACATATGTACAAGTACACAAACACGCATAAGGCAGGATTCTGATGTAAATGTAAATGTATCTATGCATGCATGGAATATTTTATATTTAATTTGGTTAATTAATTAAATTAATTTAGTTAAATTAAATTAATTAATTAATTTAATTAAATTAATTTAATTACTTTTTTGTGGGGTGGTACAGGGTATTTAAGAGTTGAGCCTGCTCGACTTTAGCATTCCTTTCTTGTTTTTCAGTTCTTTTTTGTTGTTCGTTGCTGTTTGCTGCTTTTTTCTGTTATTGTTTTATTGTGCCAGTCGACATGTTTTGCGAAGCGCAAACAATAACACGAGCAGGTCAGCAACATCACCAGCAGCAGCAGCAGCAGTAACAACAACAATGTTGACGCCAGCACGAGAGTAACAACAAAGCGCATGTAAATAACGTATTCGCCGCGTGCACGTCTCTCGCTTTGGGAAAACAAAAACAATGCATGTAATTGAAGTGCCTGTTCGAGTTACTGAGCCAAACTAGTGCATTTGACGCATAATTTAAAACGCATTAAAACGCAACAAACACTCCCCCTCCCTCCCTCCTCGATCCACCCACACCCACACACACAGACCACACTCATATGCATAGTAAAGTAAATGGATGCACATACATGGTTGCATACAATTGCAAATGAAATGCATTCCACACTCACAGCTGCCTTGCCAAGCATGTCCAATGCCTCTCAGCTGCAGTCTCAGCTGCAGGAATAGCAGCAACAGCAGAACGAAAGAAAAAAGGCAACGCAGCCACCAAAGCCGACGTCAGGACCTTAACAACTACACTTTCCATTGTAAATTTCAAGCAGAATGCGCATATTCTCATACAAATTTCATACATTTCTTTTGAGATTTCTTATATTTCGCACAATAAAGCGACTGCACGACTGCTCGAGCCCCCCACCCTCCTCCACGCTCCCCCTCCTGAATCTCACATCTCCACACCCATTCCCATTCCCACTCCAATTCCCACACCCAGCCAGCGAGCCATTAAGCGGTTGGCAAGTGCGCGCAATTACAAACGCGTGCGCCCGCATCCGTCGCTCGGCGCTTTTTTACAGATGATTTGCATTTTGGTTACGCTGCAGGAGACCGTCGACAGTTGGCAGTTGCCAGTTTGGCAGCCATAGGCACAGCCACAGCCACAGCTACACTCGCAGTCGCAGGCGTCGACAACGCACACCAGCTTGACTTCAAGCTGAAGGCTTCGCTTCGCTTCTTTCTTTTTTTTCTTAGTCTTCTTGTTATTCACCTACCCTGCCTGGTCTTGCTAGCGACTTCCTTTTCACGTGCGACAGAAGGGCACTTGTGGCATCCGTTGCGAAAATTTCGCACAACCTAACCCCTCTCTCTGTCACATTTCCTTTGTGCCTCAAACAACTTACAGTGGCTCCTTTTCCATAAAAGTCTTGGCAAATAAAACGTTACCATCGCACGACTTGGCAAATCAGTTAAGCAAATACTATGTACGAGCATACAATTGAAAGTACGTTTCCAGTCTTAGCGCCCAGAGGGAACTTATTATTTATACCCTGTCTACAAAGTCTCCTTCAACTGCACGCCAAATTGATTTTAATGTTCAGTGCTTGTCACTTTTTTTCTGCAATGTAAATGACAAAAAACCACTATTTTTTTCAGTTATATTTTGCAAATTAATTACTTTTATTTACCAATATATATTTTGCTGTGTTCTACTTCCTTTTTGGCGTTTTTTTGCGGCTTATTTTAATTTGCTTTTATTAAACAATTTCAGTTGAAATCCGAAGCTAATTGTTTTTACCTGGTACTTTGAAAATGGAAGAGTGCTTTCGTCAATATAAAAAGTTTGGTAAGTCTGCAATAATTTCAAACACTCTTTTTTAAACTAAATCTACAGCGCAATTTTTTAACTGTAAATGATTTAAATGAATAAATAAAACGACACGAAACATCTTTATTAAATTAATGGACATTTTTACCGACGCAACCAATCGGTCAAAGAAAATGCTTAAATTCTCAAATTATTTATTCATTATTAAGCCGTATTGTATGAAATAATATTACTAAATATTACAAATTTACTTGAGATTTCTCGCATATAAACATTCCTTTGTTTATTAACTATGCATTTTGTAAAGTTGTACTTCTTTCTTGGTCTTAAACCAAAAAATGGACAATAAAAACAATAGAATATAGACTTATTTGATATTGCTATATTAAAGTGTTAAATCCACTTTCCTTATTCAAAAATTTTAATTGAAGAACATCAAAAGTCATGATTTTGAGATGCACTTCACTTAATCTTTTGCTTAGTTATAAGCAGAACATAAAGAAATAGTGAATAGATTATTTATTATTTTGTCAACATAAGTAGATGAATAAGATTTTGTTGACTCCTTGTTTTCCATTACCATTTACGTATTTGCATGACAAATCAAGCCCGATTTCATGCTCATTTCACTGCTTACATTTTTGAAAAATTATTACCTTTGACTAATTAATAATAAATGAACACAATGGGGAGATTAAATAGGCAATGGACTCCTGGTAAAAGAGAAATCAAAGTAACTTGTTGCAACCTCATTAGTTTTATTTAATTTAATTAAACAAGCACGACAAGCAAACAAGCAATTAGAAAATGATTTTTGCAAAAATTGCTTTTCATTCACAAAACGCACAGCTAGTTCATAAATAATGCAAAACATAAACGCAGATTGTTTTTCTAATTGTTGCTGCTTTTATGTAAATAAAATGGTACAACCAAAGCAAAGCTGTACTTGTATGTTATTTTTGCTTTCAAATCAAATCTGGTTCATTGTTTCTTCGTACGTTTGTTGGTTGTTCAAACCATGAAATTATTTACCAAAAATATTGCCAATTAATATGAACATTTTCGCTTTGATTTTCCGCATTACTATAGGTAATAGAATTCGTTTTGGGTGTAAAAAATGTGCAGCATCAAATGTTTTCTCATTTTGAATTTTAGTAAAAATAAATGTAATTTACATTCGGCTTTTCCCGCTCTTTATTAAGTAAATAAAACAATACTTTAGCATTCCCACACCTGTATATATACAAGTATGTTTTTTTAAATATATATTAAATAACTGGGCACAATTGCGGTTGCGATTATTAATAATAATAATAATTAATTAGTATTACAGAGGTTTCTTTGTTGACAAACCCAATAGGCATAATAAGTTAAGCAAGAAAAAAATTTATTTTTCAGCAAAATACGTAATGTGTGAATAATATAAAGGTAATTAAAATTATATGAAAAAGGGGACAACACTCTACTTGTAGCCATACCTTGCCATATTAGCTATGATAAAAAATATTTGCCTGATTTTACAGCAATGCAGAGCTATTAAATTTCAACTTTGCTGCTTTAAAACTGATTTAAAAAAAGTTAACCAGGCATATCGCACTTTACGCTGACACTGTCAAGCAGAAACAATGAAGAGCTGTCAAATCAAAGAGAGACATTTCAACCTTCACTTGAGCCCTAATCACTAATTTAGTAATGACAATACACTGAGAACTAATTCATGCGCTTAATTCATATTCTCATAGAAGTAGTTTTGGTCTTATTTGCAACACATTTTTGTCATCTGGAAACTATCTGTATAAAGTAAATTCAATAAATAAAAGCATTTTAAATATAACATCAAAGGTCAGGAATAATTCAGGTACGTGTAGGGGTTGTAGGGATTCTATCGGTTGTTTTCCATATTTTGAATTAGTAGAATCAAATAAGAAAGGAAACCATATCTCTCTCTCTCAGAATCAAGAAATAATTTTTGGACAGAGCATAAAATGTGTATCCTTTTCCTTCGGAATTAAAACAAATGCGAAAAACCGCATATACTCGTATCCTCAGCAGCATTCTAAAATCTATGGCTTTATTAAAGTGTTGAACAAATTAAACAAATAATAAATAAATTATTATAATTATAATTAAACAAATAATATTATAGGCTTGCTATGCATCCCACTTATCAGAGAAGGCAAATACAAAAGCTAAACAATCTGTTACATATAATTACATAATTAATACTTGTTTAAAGTAGAACTCACTTTAAAGCTTTTGTGTAAGCTATTCAACATTTCTATTAGAAAATTGAAAGCAGTTATAAGGCTAGATATTTTTTTTATTTCATTACCAGTCTTCAAATCAATTGTAAACGCTTCATCAGAAAAGCAGTTATTTAAATTGTTGATCTTAATATTCACATATTAATCAATTTTAAGTAAATAATTACGATTCCTAAGCAATATATCGTGCAGAATCATCATTCCAAACAAATGTGAAAGGGTATTCAAATACATACAGAGAAATCAAATCGATATGCAAAGCTACTTAAAGCCTACCTTCTCCCCAATCATAACGATAATACATTTAGAGAGGAATTCCATCCACCATGCCTAATCAGTTGGTATTATTTTGCCGTGTACAGATATTCCCATGCTTGACACCTTGATTTCTTGGGCACACTCCCACTCGGGATATCCTAATTTATTCATTTTAAATGTATGCCGTGGGGATACTGGGAACTGAAGCTTGTTCGAGCATTTATTAATTTTCTCACCCAAAACGAAAACAGAACTTGCCACTGTGCGTTCGGTTGAGTATTTCTTTTCTTTTTTCTCCTTGCCTAATGCAGGTAAACGAGTTTTTTATGTTGCAAAAAAAAGAGAAAAATTCAAGAAGCCACAGCATGATGATCCAAAGTAAGTAGGTACTAGGGTATAGGGGGGTTTCTGACATCCCCCTCCCCTTCCTCTGCCGCTGCCGCTGCCGCTGCTGTTGCTGCTGCGTTGCTTCAGCACATGAGGGCGTTTAATGAAAGATTTGTGTATGTGTTATGTGAGTGAGTGTTGTGTGTAGGTGTGTGTCTGTGTCTGTGGCTGTATGTGGGTGTCTGGGTGTGTGTGTGTGTGTGTGTGTGTGTGAGCCAGTGCATATAAAAAACAAGTGGCGCTCGTCCAGCAACATTCAATGAGGAGTGGGTGGAGATGGGGAGGCGCTCACTTCATTCTAGTGGCAGCCAAGTGCAGTTTATTGTATTTCCTTTTCTTGGCACGCTCTCGTGCTCATCGCACTTCAATTGTGCGCTAGCCAATAAATCAAGCTGAAGTATTAAAATTAACAAACTAGCCAGCCAATAAACATTATCTCGAAGCTTCGGCTACAACTTCAAGCAGTCTTCCCTACACACACACACACACATACTTATACGCGTGCGTGTGTGAGTTAGAGATGGGAATTTAGTGAGCTGTCACGAGTCCGAACGAGTTTTGAATGGAGGCGAGAAGTCATAATATAATATATATATGTATATAGACTTAATTAGAAATAATAAATGTATGGAAGAAATAGAGAATTTTCAATCTTGATTTAAGATCTGTTCTAGGCTGGACAATTATTAAATTCTATGATAACCTTGACATTTTCTTAAACATGCTTCTATCATTCAATCCGAGTGCCAACTCAGCAATAAGCTCATATAATGGGATTCCTGCTAGCTCGTTGAGCTAAGCCCAAATAAAGAAGTAATCACTTGAAATGAACAATTTAAATAAAACTCGTACAATTAAATAGCATTTTACACATAATAACTAATATTTATAAACAAATTCTTAGCTATTTTATAAACTTAATTTCGAACAGTAGCTTTGCTGATTTTCTTCTTCTTTTTATGGCATTTTATATTGCAATTTTTCAGTTTTAATGAGATTTTTGCATGTTATAATACGATACATATATCCATCTATTCGACTATTTGTTCGTCTGTATGAACCTCTCTAACTTACAAACCATAGCTGCTATGCTTACCAAACTTGGCAACTAGATTTGTCTAATCGGCACGCAGCGCAAGTTTATTCCAAACCAAACAAATGCTGGTTTTTTTTCAAGAAGAAACGCTCGTTGCATAAATCACTTGTAGTGTAATATCTCTTTTGTTGATTAGGGTATCCTTTTTCTGAAATATCCTCAAAATCAGTCAGTCCATCCCTAGCATGAGTGTGGCGCACACATGAGGCACCAACGGCTGGTGCTCGGCGAAAAACTTGCAAGACACAATGACAGCTCGTGATGAATTGTGCGCACGTTATCCGGCGCTCAGACATTGCTCGACTGATGGCCGATATATGTCCGTGTGTATGTGTGTGTGTGTGTGTTTAGGCGTGTGTGTGTGTGTGTCCAAGTGGCGCCAGTTGGCTTTTACCTTACACCTTCCACCAGAAGGAGTCCATGTTGTCGCTCCTGCTGCTGTTATTCATTTTGCTTTGCTGCAAAGCCTTGTTGATGCAACAACCATAACTCATCGCCAAACACTCTGCCATCCAGCCAGCCAGCCAGCCAGCCAGCCAGCCAGCCGGCCAGCCAGCTAGGAGCTGTGACAGTAGGGCAGCAGTCATGCAGGATAAAAACTATCATTTGCCAAAGGTGAAGTGAGATTTTCTGGCCAAGTTGCTGCTGCTGCTGATGCCGCTTCTGCTGTTGATGTTGACGTGGCTGCCAAATGCGTTTTCACACGTTTTTGTTAGCAACCAGCAGCGGCAACTGATGACTTGTCGACCTGTCTTTGGCCAAAAGACCAACAACTAGAGAGGGGAGTGGAGTGTGGAGTGACAAAGGCGGAGGCGAACTGCATGATGCCACTGCCATTTCCATTGACACAAGAGGCGCAGGGCACAACCCGCATAGTTCACTCACTCGGCCATTTATCGCTTCATGCAGCCATTTGCTTGCCTCATTCGTCTCCTTTTGCCACGGCCATGAAGTCCTTTCGTTGCTAGTAGTTGCTAGTAGTTGCTCGTAGTTGGTGTTTGACAAAATCCAAGCACTTCATTTGAATAGTGTGTGCGAGTGGGTGTGTCGGTCTGGCTGTCTCTCTGTCTCTCCGTCTCCCTGTCCGACTGTCAGCCTGCCTCTCTGAATATGTTTGTTTGTACAAGTTGCTTTTGACAATAAGCCCTTTTGCTTTTGCATATGTTTTTGCGCATTTGTTTATTGTTTTGAGAGAAAAACAGACGCCGACGTGGCCGCCACTTCAGCTGCCAACGCGCAAATTATTCATGAAGCGCATGAGCTTCACAAAGATTCTGACCCCTCGGCAAACAGTCCCGACAGTGACGCCCGCGCTTCACACTCCGTCCTTCGTCCTTCGCCCTCCGTCTTCCACAATCCGCAACCTGCAGCCGCCCGTCGCGCAGTCAAGTGGCCCAATACATATTTTTGGCAGAAGCCAAGTGGCTGACTGCCACTAAAACGTCTAGCTAGGCACAGTGAAGCGTCCCTCTAACGACCAGAAGCGGGGGATTAGGAATGTCCTTTTAGATAGAAAATAGTTATAAATATTTGCAACTCAACTTAATAAGAGTTAAATCTGCAGACATCTTTTGTTTATAGTGTATTTTTTTAATAATTATACTGTTGTATTTGTAACTTAAATTAAACTCATAGTTAAATACAAATTCAACTTAGTCTTAAATACAATTTAACATTTATAATTTATATAAATCTGTTGGGAAGGTCAGTAGGGCCTCCTTCTCTCTGTGTTGGAGAGGAGGAAGCTTTCACTAAAAATTACTTTTTGAAACACACACAGATATACAAGTAGTATGCGTTATCGAATTCAGATTTGACAAAAGTACAACTAAAATATATACAAGTAACTATCTCGAAGCCAAGCCACTTCCATTCCCAACCAATCCAAAGAGTGCTGATCAATGCGACCAACGCTTGTGCGGGCTTTATTTAAGCTGGTCACACTACGCCCAAACAAAATAATTGCAGCTCTTGATACTCTTGCTTTGGCAGCAATTTTTACGATGTGTCTGTAAAGCTGCAAAGCTGATTTATGATTTTTTTCTTACATGACTACACTTGCAATGGAAATCAATAGAAGAAAAATAAGGCGATTACTTCTGCCACGTATTGGAAATCAAATTTCGGTATAGTCTATAGGTTTCCTTTGATTGGCTTAAATGAGTTTTTGAAGCAATTAATCGAATTAAACAAATTCTTAGGAGAAGTGCAATCCAGAAATACAAGAAATGTATTTGCTTACATTTTTGAAATTACATTTCTTAAATGCTCTTTTTCAATCACCCATTAATATATTTAAAAGCAATCTAATTAAAGCGAAACAGTATCTTTCTACAGTTTTAAAATAGTATTTATAATTGTACTTGGTACTTTGTAAATTGAATTCTGCATTAACTTGTGATAATTGAATGAATTAAGCGTACAAATTCTTCAAATGTAATATTTGTTGTGGATTTTCTGCTCTCGAATACAAGTAATGAATTGGTTTACTTAACCATTTATAGACCAACAACAATTGGTTTAAGCAGAGCTTTCACCTTCAATTTTGCAATAATAAATGTTTAATTTTAACACCAAGCTGGCATTTAAAGCGGCTTCATAAATAAATGATACTCGTGTGGAGGAAATTGCATTGAGAATTTTTGTGAAAATAATCGCTCGCAATCCTTCAAGGGTTTGTGGGACTGTATCTGTATCTGTATCTGTATCTGCCCGCCCCCTAGTTGTGCGCGATGGCGTGTTTTGCATAAGTATTTTCTGGTTAAATCGTATTAACTTTTACCATGGCTTGGCTTCAATTGCTTGTCGCATAATAAAGTCGCTCCTCTCGGTTTCTGGCTCTTTGGTTGGCTGCCAGAGCATAATGTCGCCGTTTTGGTTACGGTTGGCTAAGTATATTAAAATTATATTGAGCGGCTTACACCAACAGACACAGGCACAAACATGCATAAATAGACACACACACACACACACACACAAACACACCAACTAAGGATCTACTATGTGTGTGTGTGTGTGTGTCTATATATATAGGGGGAATCGCTCTGAATCGCTCTGAATCTCTCTGTCTGTGTGCGAGTTCGCTTTTTGGCAAGCCTTCAAAATTGCAGCCTTGCATTTGGCCCACAAAATGTTCATAACAGCTTTTGGCTCACTGACTCCCTATAGATATATATACACATACATACACACACACATGCGTGTACAAAGTTCAGTGTGTTGGGAGCAGCATTTACATACACATATGTGTGTAAGTAGGTTTAAACTGCAATTTATCTAACGCAAGGGCCTCAAACAGTGTGTATCTTTATGTGTCCCCGACATAAGGTCGCATGGCATTGGGATATTTGCTTGAGTTGCTTGTAGAGCTGGAAGTGGATAGCGGAGAGCGGGTTGTGGGCTCTATTTGCTCAAAGACTACAAAAAATATAGAGGAAAAGTTTTGCATATGTGCTGGGCGCACTAACGGCTCACAATCTATTATTTATGTTACTGCCACACATCAGCGGAGCATATGTTTTATATGCGTGTTCAGGGGAACCTCCCTAAATTGGCCTCCGACGCCCTTTTCCCCATCCTCCTCTCAACCGCTGACAAATTGTATTTTCCTTTCCGAACTGCATGTCACATGATGGCCTTAATAGAATAAATGCAAAAATGAAATGCATGCCAATTTAAAGCAAATGCATTCCCAATCAAATAAATTGTCCTACTTATACTTGTATATTGTAGTAGTACTGTGTCGATGAAATGCATTCCTAAATTTTATTTAATTTAATAAAAATGTTGCAAAGTAACGCAAAATCAGTTGCAAGACAGAGCACTGCATCGTTCAATCAATGTTTTCAACACAAATGTAGAAAATATGCATTGAACTCTTTTCATTGATATCAGAAAATTTGACTGCATTTACGAGTGAAAGGCTTTGATTGAGGAAATATTGCCATAATATTTACACTACTCTTCACTTGAATAAGAACAGCAGAAATTATGTTGCTCCAAGATCGGTTCTTTTGCTGACACTTTTTTTAATACATTAATTACATTCTAGAAACCAATTAAAAAAAATAACTGGCATATTAAAAACCTTAATTTCCATATTAAATTATTGAATCCCTGTTTTTGTTCTACTTATTATTATTAATTAAGGATTAACAAAAAGCTGGCATTTAATCTATATTTAAAGTGAACTGAAATAATATAAATTACAAAAATAATTTCAAAACTCATTTCCAATGGTCCGTACTAGAGTACCAGAAGTTGTCCTGAAACCAATTCGCATTTTTGATCATTTTTATAAACCTTTAAAATGCATTCCTATTTCGATTTTTCAAGCATTTAATTTTGATTTAAAAATATTTCGGACCAGACGGACAGTGGACAACTGTTTGTATTGTTGGTATACAATTTTCTGGTAACTTAAATGATTTTGGTTTTAATGATTTATTGTCATTATATTTATTCATTTATGAAGAAGAACATATGAGGAAAAGTGTCATCATTTCTGTACTTAAACTCTGGCTGATTGCCAGTTCAAAGGGAACAACAATTTTAATATTCTGCAAAGGCCGCATTCTAATCAAATTGACAGACTTGCCGGCTTGTTTACATTTTAAATATTTAATATTAAGTCTTACCTTGTCAGCAGAAATGAGAAAACACAAACAACAAATGGAAAAACACAAATGACAACTGTTTCCACAAACCATTCTCAAAATGTACGGAAAACAAATAAGAAGAAATATAAATTGCATTGCATTCAAATAAAGCGGCTTTATTGCCTTTTTAGTGACTGAAGAACGCAATTGAAAAAGCTTTAGGAATTCTTAAACGAGCACTTGAAAGTTTTATTTCTTGTTGTTGCAAATATTTGCATTTAAAATACTATATGTTTAGAAATTTAAGCCTTAAACCTGATTTCGACATTTTAACAAATTATGTTTTCCACGAAAACAAAGCATTCGCAGTGATGTTATGTTTTTACAAACAAGCGCTAATTAATTTGCCTAATTAATGATTAGCAGCACTTCTTTTTTGTTTTGGTATTTTTGCCATTCAGCCAAGTGGCTATTTAATATTTAAGCAGTTAATTAGTCTCTCGCTGGGGGTCCACCAAATTGTTTAAATGGTTCTAGTCACGGCAGGCGTTTAAAATTATAAACGCAAAAAGTTATGAAGTTAATTTTCTAAAAACAGAATGTTCACATTTCTAAATGTTTTCAATTTAATTGAAATTTTAATCACTTTTTAAAAAGATATTTCAGTTCAAAAGTGTTTCGCTTCCAAGAAAATGTTACAAGGGAAATACTTTTCATTAATTTGAACAGCAATGCGAAACTTTTCGCTTATGGTTTGCTCATTTTTTGAAGCATTATTTTTCCTATAAACCCTGATTAGGAATATTGAATATAAAGAATGAATATAACCACCAGATTATGGTCAGGAACAACATTTTTGAAAATATATTCTTAAAATACAATGAACTATAGTATTTATTTTAAACCCGATAATTTCGGAAAGAAATAAGGGATGTTTAATTCAAATGGGAAGTAATTTTCACGTAAATAAAAATAAACGCATGGAAAAAATGTTGTTTTTTATTTTCAGCTAAGGATTAATTTAAAATTGCATAAAATGTTTTTAGTTGCTGCGATTAGAATAACATATTAGAGTAATAACATTGATTTGCGGCCTAAACTCTCGACATATTGTTTTTTTCACCCTAATTGAATAATAATAAATGATTTACAAAACTTTAAGGCTATTCCAATATACAAATACAATTTTAATTTTAGGCATCTCCGAAATCCGGGCGCTTATCCAGACAGACGGAAGAGAAGAGTTTACTTACCAAGGTTGGTCAATGTCCAGACGTAGGACCAAACGGGCATGGCTCTGCATTGTCATGTCAATCAGAAATATATATAAGTACTTTAAGCATCCTTCTGTCTGTAACATTTTTCAATTTGCATTTAAGTTTACTTATTTACAAATATACATGAAACAATTAGACTAATTTTAGAAATGTGGTAAATTCATAAGAAAGCGTTTTTAATAATTTAAATATTTTCATATTTCACATAAATTTATTGAAACAAATAATATATACAGACATTTTTTTAAATATGGATAATTGCTTAAGATAATAATTTTATGCAATTAAATATAATATGTTGACAAAGCATAGTAAATTGTTTGAGATATAATGTCAATAAATTTATACCTTTTCATTAACCAAATACAACATATATACAAATTTGTGATGAATGGAATTATGTTAAGGAATTGTTTTAATAAATAAAAAAGCATAACACACTCTTAAAAGTTATAGTTAAGTTCTATATTGTAAATTAACTTCAAATCATATTACTTAGTATTTATGTAAGTCAAATGCAATTGAAATCAAAATAAACGTATACCCATAAAATGTGAACAATATAATTAATTAATAAAACAAAATATTTTTATATGTTAAAATTGCAAAAAAGACATACCCGACCATAAATATATGGCATAATAAACTTTAAATTAATATAAGCTTTTAAATAAATACGTTTCATAAAAGATAGTCATGAGAAAACATAAAAAACAAAAACAAAAACAAAAACTTCGAAAACCAGGTTGGCGGCGGGCAACCGCTTATCGAATGCATTAATTGTTTTCTAAGGTTAAACACCTGATTTCTGTTTACACTTCAAAATGCACAGTAAAGATCGTTTTTGTTTACATCCACCTTCAACCAATAGGAGGACCCCGGTTTGTTTACTCGCAGCTGATTTTTGCTTATTGTTTACATTTTGCAATGCGCCGTTAGGATCGCTTTTGTTTACATCCATCTGCAACCAATAGGAGGACCCCGGTTTGTTTACTTGCAGCTGATTTTGTTTATTGTTTACATTGAAAATTGAAAACCCAGCCAGCTTGCTTACTTGCTGTTCGCTTATGTTCGCCTGGTATTTCAATACACGAAATGAATCGAAAGTTATGCAAAATCCGAGAAAACTAAATCCAGGCTGGCGCAGGCTGCCGTTTAAGATTCTAAAACACCATTGTCTACCAGGCAAACATAAATGAGCAGCAGGCGGATGCATTGCTTGTTTACTTCATGTTAGTCAGCTGATTTTTGTTGACACTTCAAAATGCACAGTAAAGATCGTTTTTGTTTACATCCACCTTCAACCAATAGGAGGACCCCGGTTTGTTTACTCGCAGCTGATTTTTGTTTATTGTTTACATTGAAAATTGAAAACCCAGCCAGCTTGCTTACTTGCTGTTCGCTTATGTTCGCCTGGTATTTCAATACACGAAATGAATCGAAAGCTATGCAAAATCCGAGAAAACTAAATCCGGACTGGCGCAGGCTGCCGTTTAAGATTCTAAAACACCATTGTCTACCAGGCAAACATAAATGAGCAGCAGGCGGATGCATTGCTTGTTTACTTCATGTTAGTCAGCTGTTTTTTGTTGACATTTTGCAATGCACAGTAATGATCGGTTTTGTTTACATCCACCTTCAACCAATAGGAGGACCCCGGTTTGTTTACTCGCAGCTGATTTTTGTTTATTGTTTACATTGAAAATTGAAAACCCAGCCAGCTTGCTTACTTGCTGTTCGCTTATGTTCGCCTGGTATTTCAATACACGAAATGAATCGAAAGTTATGCAAAATCCGAGAAAACTAAATCCAGGCTGGCGCAGGCTGCCGTTTAAGATTCTAAAACACCATTGTCTACCAGGCAAACATAAATGAGCAGCAGGCGGATGCATTGCTTGTTTACTTCATGTTAGTCAGCTGTTTTTTGTTGACATTTTGCAATGCACAGTAATGATCGGTTTTGTTTACATCCACCTTCAACCAATAGGAGGACCCCGGTTTGTTTACTCGCAGCTGATTTTTGTTTATTGTTTACATTTGCCGCTTGTTTACTTTTTGCAATGCACCGTTAGGATCGCTTTTGTTTACATCCACCTTCAACCAATAGGAGGACCCGAGCTTGTTTATATTTTGCAATGCAGCTGATTTATGTTTTCATTGATCATTTTAATTCCAGCCGGCTTGTTTACGAGTACTTGCTGTTCATTTATGTTCGCCTGGTGCCTGAGTACAGGCAGGCCATGGAAATTCATATGCAAAATCCGAAAAACGAAATTCAAGTTTGCCTGCCGGCCCTTTAGTAGGGAAATAATAAATTATTAAATAATAAATTAATAATTCCAGCTGTTTAATAAAAATTGAAATATTGTATATTTTTTAGTGCTATTTAACATTTGTTTTTATACATTTTATTTTTATAAAAATTTACTTAATATAAAAAGTTAATTAAAACAATTTTTGAAGTACATTTCTAATAATTATTATATTAATAACATATTATTACAATTCTTTATTCTTAATATGTATATGATGATTTTTTGTATCAATTTAACTTAGTTGCAGCGACAGGATGTTTAGGAGCTCTTCAGCGGTGACCAAAAAAATGATCCTAAGGATATTCCACTCCTTTTCCGCAATTGAAAGGAAAAAGCATGCCTGCAGTGAAACCTGTTGGGTGTGAAAGCGGCATATTAATTTTACAGACATTCAGTGGAATGTGCAGGGACAATTATTTTGCAGCTATATATGTACGAGTAGGTATAGATCGGTGGTTCATAGTAGGAACAGGCAGGTTACGGTAGCTAGACACTAGCTTGTCTGCAGGATAGATTAGAGAAGGGAACGCCCACTAAGAAGCCAGCTTATGATGGCAGCAACAATTCCAGACCACAATGTCTAGACGGGAAGGAAATTCTGAAACACGCTGGTTCTATATCCTCTCATACTTTCTGAGATCCTTGCGTTCATGCAGACAGACGGAAGGACGGACAGGCCTAAATCGACTCGTCTTATTATACTGATCAAGAATATGCTTAAGATGGTCCTTCGCGCTTCCTTCTGTGTGTGTTACATACATTCCCACTAGTGTACCCTTCTGGCCTTCGTTTTAAATTACAACAACAAAAATATTTGCATTCTTAAATGCTGTAAGTGTGTTGGTAATAAATGTGACACTGTCGCTTTTGGCCAAAAGCTGTAGGCCGATTCTCAACACAATCAAATTAATAATTGCAAAAAAATAATAATTTAATTGAATTTAAAGTTGAACAGAAATTGTGGCTTTTTGAGCAAAAACTAACTGAAAATTCTGTGGCTGATGTAATTAAAGTGTTAACAAATTTCTGGTTCATTAATCAATTAACAGATGTTCCTGCAGTTTGCCATTCATATTATTAAACACAATTAACGCTCTCTGGCCATTGAAGGTATTAAGATGTGAAGTGTCTGATTAAAATGAAAAAAGTGGTTATAAGAGTGTCAAACTTTAGCAAGGTCCTGCCTTGACATTAAGGGGTCAGCTGTGGAGCAATGCAGTCGGAAGTAACTTCGGAACTTTTCGACCAAATTGATTTGCTTACGGCCAACTGGTGAGACCGGTGGCCTAAATAAATAATTAGGCTGGGCGTGGGTGGTTTTGTGGGCATATTGTGTTATAATCATACACCATATTGGTGAATGTTTTCCCTGGCCTCAATGTCGCTTATATCAATACTACAAAGCACTAATTGTTGTTGCAATTGTTCCAAATGCTTATTTGCGTAAACGGTCATAAGCGTGCGTCAGCACCCAAACCCAGAGGAGCCCAGAGAAGCCCGGCGCGAAGCTCCAGCCCAGAAGTTAAAGGGCCTCAAGGTAGGTGTAAATGCTTTGCGCTATTTACTGAACAAACATGGGACGAGCATTCATATTATACTCTGCTTAACTACGAGTATACTGTGTGTACATGAAAAACATGCGTAAATTAATTTAATGTGCCTTATAAATATGCAAGGAGGGCCGGCCAATAAATTTTTTCCTGTTCCTGGACTAGTAGGCGACTGCCTGACTGTTTGCGCCTCCAACAGCGTCTAAGCCTAGTCGTTGTGCCACGTGGCCTGCTGTTGGTTGTTGGCTCGCTCTTGTTTGTTGTTGTCGACAAAGTTTGCTTTAGAATTTTTGAGCTTCAACTAATTGCTGCAAATTACAAATGATAATAGCCACAACACACGCTCAAGGTTACATGCCAGCAATTTATTTCGTTTTCATTTTCGAGTTGGCCCGTTGCGGCGGAAAAGGCAAAGCAAGGCAAATGCGGAAACCAGACCAGGCAAGACCCGGCAGGGAGCTGAAGGCAGAGTCGGTCCCCATATTATCGCCTCCGAGTTTCGGGTAAAGTACTATAAGAATTATTGGCCATTTATCAAGAGACACGCCGTGACGTTCGGGGCCACGTCAGCAGCTTTGCCAGCTTTGCCAGCTTTCTGGCCATTAATGCAGGATTCGCGCGTTGACTTCGCGCTGCCAGGCTAATTTAATATATGTATCGCATGTACATACATATGTATACGAATACACATACTTGTACATAGCACGTGAATAGTGGGTGTGTGCCTACAACTCTCTAGCTCACATGCTCGAATTTGCTTGCCCTATTGCCGGCAGTCGTTAAACGCTCGGCCTGGGTTGCGTTAATTGCGCGCGATTAATGGCAGCAGGTTAAACGTTAAGTGAAATTAAAGAGACGTCTGGGGCCCAATGCCCCATTGTACCTTGCCTCATACTTCGCTTCCTCTATTTTTTCGGGTGCAAGCTATAAACTGATAAGTCCTCAGCAGATAAAAAAACATATACTTGTACTTGTGCTTGGCAGCATTTTAAGCAAATCTCAACCACATTTTGGAGGAACTCCAGAGCCCAGCCGGCAGCTCTCCGGCATGGCCATTGTAAATTTATTTGGCT